GCGAGGGTAACATGTTTCAAGCTGAAGTATGTCCTTTTTTGAATGAATTTAAAATATAACAATTAGTATGATTTGAAGAATTATGCAGAACTATGTATAAATCTTCAGATCAAACGAAAGCCGAATCCAATGATTGCTAACTATGAATCGGCTATCTCTGAGGGTGTATACAAGTTGAAAGATATATTATTCCCAACAATGTGCTATTTTCTTATGTTTCTCACCTAAGTTTGCGAGTTGTTACCTTTCTGAGCTAAGATGGCCAAAAAAAAAAAAACAAATGTGTTAATAAATAAACCAATGTACTGTTCATTGCAGGTTATTTGAAATGGCGCTGATTCGAGTATGAAAGATATTGTCCGCAGCGGCAGCGTCCTAAACACCCTAAGGGAGACAAAAATTTGCAATTTTGAGCCCTAAAGGTGACGTTACACGGGACGATCCGCAACGACGATTTTTACCGCAACACAGCGTTGCAATGTTGGAACAATGTTGTACCCATTCGAAACAAGGTTGCAACAGTGTTTTGCGCTAGAAATCGTCGTTGCGAATCGTCTCGTGTAACATCACCTTAACCCTGTAAGTCCCAATAGTGCTCAAAATCAATTTTCTCCTAATGATATCCATAGATTGCAAAGTCTATGAGAATTAATAAAATGAACACAAAGAGAAAAATATTTGATCTTTTACCAAATTCTCTCAACTAATTCTTCAAGGAAATGTATGGAGATCAGTTTGGAGAATTTGTATGTGGATATTGGGACTTAAAGGGTTAAGCAAGACGACGAGCATCCCCGTCACGTTTACGTCACCAATCCTCCTTCCTGGCATTACTCCTGTGCCTTGAAATTTTTGTTCAAGGTAGTTACCCTTGAACAGGAATCCATCGCCTTGAAGCTTTTCTTGAATCCGTAAAGCAATAAAATCATGATGGACGCTTAGAATGGAATGCGTCAACATTTCACAAAATACACACTGAGCATGTGTGCGGTGCGGGACCTGAGGTCCTGTCTGGTCTGTTCCTTTTTATGAAATCCAATAGAGAGGTTTACATTTGAGGACGAGGAAGACTACGAGTACGAGATTTTCTCAATACTAAGCATTGCTCACGCGTGAACGTCATTTTGGCGGAAAAACGTGATAGCCGTCGTCATTCTACTACTAGTATTACAGAGAATGTCGTAATGGCAGGAACAAGTTATCAAATGTAAGAAGTTTTGTCATTTTGCAATGGGGAGAGGGCTAAACTTCCTTCAGTATAAATAACCGTACTATTTTTTTGGTGAAAAAAGTAAATGAAGCTTTCCGGGGTGTCTTTGTTTTTAGAACACACGCAAAAACGTTTTCGTACTCGCACTCGTTCTAAAGCTCTCTAATGGACGAACACTTTTCCGAGTATTAAAACATGTTTAATTAGCAATCTTTTGCGTTAAGTATCCTGCAATTGTCTTAAATGTTTTTTTTTAGCTAGCACATCAATCTGTTAAGGGTTCATTAATGAGGTTCTATCTCTTTTATTTACTTTGAAAGCGCTGTTTTGACGTTTTAATTTTGATCTCTGAGTAGCTTTTTTTTAAAGTTGATTTAGAAAGATATCCGTGTACCGTGTTTCTTCAAAGCCTCTCCTAGACTCGTCCTCGCGGTCACGGAATATATATAGCTGACATTTTTTATTCCATATTTCCTGACTTTCGTTTTTCGCCATAAAGCACCAATAAAGTGCCTTGTGACTTCCTGAAATTATGAGACAAAAACCGGGCGGAGGTGAAGAAGAGCTATTTTAACTCTAATTAGAGAGGAGGCTGAAGTTCGAAACAGCTGCTCTTGTTTTGTCCCCAGAGTTTGGCCATAATCATTTTCACTCATCGGATCGATATCTCTATAACATCATTATTCGGGATCATAATATCCCGCCCTGCGCTTATAAGCCAATCAATATGTATCTATATCATACATCTTGTTATGTTCCGGTTAAGGTTAGAGTTTTAGTGTTGCTTGTCATGTAGAATGAATTAAGAATATTCCTCTCCTAAGCAGAGTTATTCGAAACTTACGGTGCGTTCTATTGCTCGTCTTCCGGAATAAGATTACGCAAAATTTTTGTTGCAAATCTCTTGTACCATGCTTTTTGGGCGTCTTAAAGGCTACAATTATCGGGATATCTTATTTCAAGCAGATTGTTAGTTATTGCAAAGCAATGAACGCCAAAATGAGTGATTTCAAGAGTTTATCCCACTAATTGTTCTTCCGGAATACGGTCAAACACGCCCTTCGAAATTTCTGGAGATTTGATATCAAGTTAATTGGAGTCTTTTAATACTGAACTGGTAGCAGCTCAGTACAACACAGGTTTGATAAGAAAAATAAAAAAAAATGTTGAAATGATTTTCTCAAGTGGTTACATTTAATGGATTATCGAGGATCATTATTCAGTTGGCCCTGTGCCGGCTTAGTTCAGTCAAATCACTGTTGATTGGGTTGAAATGCAGAAGCGTCCTTATGATAAGAAGTTTCCTGTATGTAAAGGTCAATTTGCGCAAAAATAACTTTGTTTGTCGTTGTTGTTACCAGCAAAAGAGGATGATAACCTCATTCTTTTTCAATCCTGGCATGCATCTCTCAAACTCCCGAAGAGTTCCCGGGCTTGGAAAGTGTTTTTCTCCCATCCTTTTTTTAAACGATCCCTGTTAGTTTTTGTGCAAAGTAAGCCATTTTGAAAAGGGTCAAATTTTCCATCTGAAATTCCGGTAGCTGAAAATAACCTTTCTGCTAATAAGCTTTGTGCCCTTAAAATAGTTCTTTGGGACATGACCGAGGAAATCATTTTTTTTTTAGTTTTGAGAAACGCACGCCACAGTTTGATGAACATCGGTCGGGTATACATGTTGTAGCCCCTCTATCACAATGGCGTTGTCACAGAGATATGGGCATTCTTCCGTTTTGGGCATCTCCATTCCCAAAACCCTAGTGATGTGGGCATCCCCTTGTCATATTACCGTAGCGATTTGGATTAGGGTTACAGGGGATGCCCATATCACTAGGGTTTTGGGAATGGGGATGCCCATATCACTGTAATAGGGTCACACTCGCCAGTTTAGAATGGAGAGGGAAACTGGGCCGAAATAACTTTCGCGAAGACTTCTGGGACCTTCTGACGTTAACGTCCTCAGTAACGATCCCAGAAGTCTTTGCGAAAGTTAACTCAACCAATCCATTCTTTCTCGTTTCCAAAATGGCAAATGGAATGATTACACTTCCTTGATTACAAGACATTAGTGCAGTACCAGACCATGTGCAGCTGCAATTTGCAACCCTGATTGTATAAGGACTCTCATGAAATGCATTGCAAATTCGTTAGGGTAATAATACCCTTAAATCAGCTCAATAGAAACTGAAAGACAACCGCGACTATAAACTGTTGAGTTTGGTGGACCTAGCCTGTCCCAGGCTCCGAGATAGTCGGATCCGCTGAATTGAGAAAGCGCAAACGAACACGAAAATAAAACGGGAGGAAACTGGGAGGAGGAGGAAACTTCCTTTTTTCCGCCACGCCAACTTTTCGCCTGCCTTTTTCTTTCGCGTCTTCCCCACTATCTGAGAGTCTGGAACAGGCTAGGTGGACCAATCTCTAAAGATCTGGATTAGCGTTAAAAAAGAGCAGTAGCCCCGAAAAGAGACACCATATTAAGAAAACGTAATGAGGACCACTTTGGTGTTATGTTTCTTCGATTGATAATACCCTCACTAGTATAGGTTTTCGTTACCAGAGTCAAAGGGGCAATGTCTTCAGATCAATTTTCTGAAAATAATGCTCCAGTTTTGCTATTCAAAACTTTCTGATTTCGACATTGAAACTGTTTCCTGTCGTCTGTTCCTACAGATGGCAACCGATTGACACTTGAAAAAATGGGCCCAATTTTTCAAGTTTTAATGCTTTGGCTGCTCAGCTCACCTAAGCTTTATTATATTTGCTGCTGCTGCTGCTTGACGAAATTTGTTTGATATCTTTATCTTTTGTGTTTGGGGTAACGGCACTAAGGAATGACTTCAGCACAGAATTGATCTAAAACAGCATTAGTAAAATCGAACGAGTAGTCTATTATCAGTGCCGCTTTCTGATTGGTTGAGCTATTACTAGGCTATATGTTATAGCTCACTAGTAGCGAAAAGCATCAGCGTTTTGGCGGCAAAAAAGGATTAAAGTCTAGCTTTGACTAGCTAAAGTTGTTTTGTCTCGATATTTTCTTACCAACTAGTTGGATTTTACTAAAACGATTATTCCTCTCGCCCTCATGGCCTGTGAGTCAATAGCCCATTCGGCCTTCGGCCTCATGGGCTATTGATTGAGAACCCATTCGGGCTCGAGGAATAATTGTTAAATATCCTGATGACATAGTCCCTTTAATGTGGGTTGGGCGGGGTTCAAGAGGGAAGCTACCTGTCACCTGTGCGTGGGTGGGAATAACGAAATTAACTACAGTTCAACCCCTCCATAATGGCCACCCGGCCCGGGGACAAAAGAAAATGGTTAGTATAAAGAGGTGGCCGTTGTGGAGAGGTGGCTGCAGGGAGGATTAGTGGAGGTTCGTTTGTAGAAGGAGAAAAGTGAAGTGGACAGAAGATGGACACCACTCGGCTGAATAAATGGTGAAATATTGCCTGTGTGTCCCAAGTTAACTTCTTCTTTTTCAAAGTAAAATGTAGTGTTTCCCCCTATTTTGCCACACACGAAAAAAGTAACTGACTTGAAAACAGAGGGCGCGATCCATTCGACCAAAATTTCCGGAAATTTTGGTCCAAAATTCAATGGATTGGTTCGGTCCAACCGGAAAAGTTTCGAAAAAACTGGTCCATTTTTTGACGTGGACCACTTTTCCCGGTCGGACCGGTCGGAATTTTGGTTGAATGGATCGCGCCCAGAGTCACCTCTCACCGTACTGCGCGAATTCTCGCAAGTGAACGCGCCAACTGATCACGTGGTGTCTATCCCATGATGCCATCAATTGTGTTATGGCGGCCGGCGATGTGATGTGATGTCGCCTCCGAAATACATTCTTCATGACTAATCTTTGAAGATTTGTGTTTTATGTCGTCGCAAACAAGTGCCTTTTATTCCCCAGCAGCTAGCACTTAGGAAGGGACAGCTCAAACCCAGGGAGAGACCATGGCAGCGAATATGTATCTCGAACACTACCTCGATAGTAAGTGAATTTGTTTTCAGTCCCGTTTTTGCTCACAAGATCCCGCCACACAGCTCCCACTAATTTGCATTTACTATAGAGTATCGGTCATTCCTGTGACCGTAAATCGAACTTTTGATTCATGCTAGGTTTACTCATTTCATGTTGTTAAAAAGTCCTTATATGGCTCTCGTGAAATGTGTCAATACTGTTCAGATCGTGTTCTGAATTTGTGGTTGATATCGTGCGTTTAATCAAACATCTCGACAGCCTGATATAGCTTAAGTTTGTGAGCCTCTTAGCTCCTTTTTTACCAGTTCACTATTGACTAAAAAAGGAAACCATCTCTCTTCAACGATATTGAGTTTGCAACTATATTAGATTTTTGCCGGATGTTGGATTTTACACTTCACAAGCTTCATTATCTTTCATATCTATGCAACTGAATCGGAGGGTTTTCCCTGTAATACTGTATTGTATTGATATGCAATATTTGAACATGATACGGGTAAATGATCTTGTTCCTTTTTAGGTATTGAAAACCTTCCGTTTGAGCTACAAAGAAACTTCACGCTCATGAGAGAACTTGATCAAAGAACACAAGGTAAGCTGCAATCATGAAAATTATGTCTAAAAAAAATCAAAATTTTACAATTACTGAATGAGGCTGAGTATCTAATGAAGAATTATGAAGATTGAGGAGGGCGTTATCTGTCGAGGCCGTACATGTAGGCCAAGGTGGATGACACCCTCCGAGATCTCCACAGTTCTTCATATGATATGAAATTTGATAATTGTTTTATTATTCATTCAAAATAATTCCTAGTTTAAAAACATAGCGAAAACTTGCTTACCTCCATCAGTGTTAAGTTCACCCTCCGAGATCTCCACAATTCTTCATATGATGCGAAATTCGACAATTGTTTTATTATTCCTTCAAAATAATTCCTAGTTTAAAAACATAGCTAAAACATGCTTACCTCCATCGATGTTAAGTTCATCTTCGATAGTGCACATTTAGGGTTGTTCAGCTCCGCAAATATTTTCCAAATAGCAGATGTCTCCTTTCAAGTTGTCTTCTTGCTGTTCTTGCCATGTTTTTAGCTACATGTATTATTTCACCTAGTTCTTACTCTTGCAACGAGTGAAATTTTTTGTGAATTTTTTTGTGTGTGTGTGTGTGTGTGTGTGTGTTGTATTATAAATTTTTATTCTATAATACAAGAGGAATACCCAATAAAGCTGTGGGAAAAAAAATGTCCTCCATTTTTCTTTTCACAACTGAAAACAACTCAACCTTGTTCCCGGGTCTTCTCGGTAAACGGTGCATTGACCTGCAAAGAAGCTGCACTTTTGACGTCATCGGTTGATTAGTATAGGTAATAGCATGATTTGTAGTGATATTTGGCAGAAATACCACGAGTGATAATTATTTCAAAATTGTTATACGTAATTTCACGAGCCATTAGGCAAGTGAAATTTGAGACAATATTATTTTGAAATATCACAAGTGGTATTTATGCCAAATATCACGTACAAATCATGCTATTAATTGTTTATACTACTACCCTTAGAAGGTTTGTAATTTTCACATGTAGGTATTTCAAATTAAACTGAAATACCACTGCTCTAAGCCAATCAAATTGCAGAAATTTCTCATGTAGTAGTGTAAATCGCAAAACTCGTCTAAATTTCACCAATTATGGTGAATTGTGCGTGTGCTTTTAGCCAATCAGAATCGGGGAAGTATAATTGAATGAATAATAAAAAACAATAATATCAGCCCGATAAAAATACATGATATAATTAATCATTCTTGTTGGCAAGTGCACAGTACTTTTTGTAAGCTTTATCCAGGGGTTTCCCTTTAGGCCAACATTGCCCTTGATTTGAGTTTGCTGAGGAGTTATGCTAACACCAGCAAAAAATTCACTCACTGTGGAAAGCCAATGATTTTTATTTAACTTAATGTTAACTGCATAAGATCCTTGATTGTTCATTTTGGGCAAGTGCCTTAAAATGTTAATAATTTTCTGATGCAATTCAAGGTCTTTAAAAGCAAGAAAATATTGTCCTTTACCTTGCAATAAAAAATTAATTAAGGTTAAGCAGGGCTTTCGCTAAAATTTCAAGTTGCAGGGTATATGTGATTAGCAGGAGGGGAATTGTCCAGCTAAGAAGTTCTTTTGGTTCCATTTTCCTTTTGTTTCCTATGAAAGTAGCCGCAGGAAATCCGCGGCCTTCGGCTCTAAGTGACAACCCTGGTTTAAGGTGGCCCAAACCTATTTACATCCTTGATGGTTATGTTTTTAAATCATGTTTTTAAGCAGAAACGATTAACCGATTTTTATGATTTTTGGCAACTTTAATAAAGAATGGTCGAACAAAATGCTGGTCAAATTTAACCTTAAAAGTTTTTTTATATATATACAACAACACTTTATTTCATATTTACACGCAAAGGAAAAATTACAAAAACTGTAGAAAACTAGAAAAAAAAGGTAGCAAAATTACAATTTATAAAAGGTGTTGAAAATTACAACTGAAATTATCTTTACCCTTATACGTCTTATACACAAAAAATCAGTAACTCTTCTATTTATTTATTTTTTTAACATAAAATAGTAAGGTAACTGATGAAAACTATATTTGCCAGAATGATTAATTATTGCACACATATTATATGCACACGTATCCACAATGGCTTTTAAAAAAGGAAAGAAAAAACAAACAAATAAACAGACAGACAACTTAAACAGGACAGTTAAAGTATTAAATCTTTTAATCTACAGAGCGCCGCCTACAGTTCACTTCCACAGAATAGTACATTCTTTTAAAAAGGGGAGGTTTTTAATCAAGACCATTTCTTTTTAAGAGTCTCTAAAGAATTATGGTCTTTTGCAATTTGCCTTTCTATTTCCACAGTGCATTGAACTATTTGTACGTACATTTGGACATTTGTATCTCTTTGCTTACAGGTGTAGATATAATGCCTGGAAATAAGTAGTAAAATAATAGTGCAGTAATAAATCTTTTGCATCGTTAATTAAGCCAAATAAGAGAGCTTCTGAGAGGCTGAATTGTTCTACTTTGGAAGTGTTTTGCATTATCCATTGATAGCAGTCTTTCCAAAAGGCGTTAGAATATATACAGCTCCAAAATAAGTGAACCAGGTTTTGCGTTGTTTCTCCACAGAAGGTGCAGGAATCAGACTGTTTAATTCCTATTTTGTATAGAAAATCATTGGTTGCGATTCGTCTATGTAGAAGTTTAAACTGAAACTCTCTCAGTTTTGTTTCGTTAGTAGACCAAAATGATAATGAATATGTGCTTTCCCAATTAACCGTCTTGTTTCGTATTGAGTCCTCAGCCAACCATTCACCTTGGCTTTTAAGTGGTGTTGAAGCCTTTCTTTTCAATGAGGCACTGATAAGCTTTTTTTGCAGAATTTTGTGTGGGATAGGAGAGTTTTAGTTGCATCTTGGGTTTGGTCGTTTCCGGTGATGGGTGAACAAAGTTTTTTATACCTTGTTAGAGTAGATACAACTTTATAGTACTCAAGATAGTTAGCGTTAACTTTAAATTTCCTACAAAAACATCAAAGCTAATAAATCTAGAAGCCTCATCAAGGAGGTCTTTGACATTCTCCACACCCGCCTTAAGCCATGATTTGTAAAAAAAAAGGTTTCTTCTCGATCGTAATCAGTGAGTTATGCCAGATACATGTTGACTCAAAACATGGGTTCTTCTCACTATAATTTAAGTTGGACCAGTGTTCTACAATTTCTTTTTAAAAAGGGTCTTTAATTTTCAGTCATGATGCATCTTTTTGTTTTAAATTGCACAAGAACAATAATTTCCCACTGTATCTCTCCAAGTAGTAATCGAAAAACATGTTCCATGTACCTTTGTTCTCTGTGTTTAGGTAGCTTTGAACCCATTTCATTTTCAAAGATGCATTAAAACTTTGTATATCAATCATCTTTAGTCCGCCCTTATCGTAGTCGTTAATGATTTCTGTTCGGCCCTCAATTTTGTTGCCTTTGCTATCCCACAAGAAATCATATAATATCGAATTTTTTTCGTGAACTACTTTTTGGTGTGATGTTAGGGATGACAACAGATAGACTATTTGAGACATGGCTAGAGATTTTATTATGGTGATTTTGCCCAAGAGAGTCAGTCTTCTCACTGACCAACTATTTAGAATACTTTAGAGTTTATCTAACTTTTCCAAAAAGCTGACATGTACAGGAGTACATGTATCTTCCAAAGTTGAAAACCATACTCGCAGTGCACATACCTTATCTTTGGCCCATAATATTGGTTTCAAGGAGGGGAGGGTGATTTCTGAACTTTTACAGGAGCCAATCCATAGGCCTTCAGTTTTTGCGTAATTGACTTTAAGACCCGAGATCAGGCCGAAACTGTCTAGGAGGTATAGAGATCTAGAAAATGAGGACTGAGATCCATCTGGGATGAAAGTTGTATCATCTGTGTATTGTGATATTTTACATTCAGTGCCAAGTTTGATGAGTAGAAGTTCTTTAATCTCAGCCTGCGTTCAGCATAAAGTTGTTCTTCTTGTCGTGCCAGCTGTATTTGCCATAGGTTTCTGATTACTCAGTTTCTTGCAGTAAAGCTCTGGGTAAGAATACCCTCTCAGATGGGAGATAGTCTGTCAGCTTTCTTCCACGATTTGTGCAGCAACTTTCACAAATTAATGTGTAAGTGTACGCAATGTGGCCTTTTAAGGTTGAATTTGATCAGCATTTTGTGCAGGGAGTTCTATGGTCATGATTGACTTCAAACTTAGGGACATAAACCAGAGAGCTCTGAGGTTTATTTGCTGAAGCTGTTGTGGCATTTCAAAGTTATTTACATTTTTAGTAAAAATTCGGTTGTACATATTCATTAAGTATATGCCAATATCTCATACATTTTTATACCACGAGAAAAGTAATAACATTTTTTCAAAGTACGACCATTCGTTATTAAGGATGCAAAAATCATAGAAATCAGTTAAATCGTTCCTGCTGAAAAATGCGACTCAAAGACAGTCGTAACTAACACGCATATAAATAGGTTAGGGCCACCTTAATTCGTGTCGAATATAATTATATGTTAACTGTGCAAAATGTTGAGGTAAATTGTTCGATATTAAAAGGATTCCAGATATTTGGAGCAAAGAAGGATGGATACATGTAGAGTTTGTGTTCAGTAGTCATTAGATTGAAAGTCAGAACTAGAAAAAGCCCAAAATTATTTGGTCAAGGCTGTGCTCGAAGAAAAACTGAATCGCCGGAGCTGCTCTGAAGTTGTGCAGGATGCCTTGCATAGGATTTCTATGAAAATAAAACTACTAAGATTTTGTAGTCACCCAACAGCAAGAGTAAGGTGCCAGGGGGAAACTGGGTACTGCTGGAGCACAACCCTGTTGTACCCAGAAGATATCTTCAAAATTACTTGTATATTATATCAAAATGTGTTCTGACTGGAAGTTTTCAGATTTATCAGTTTTTGCCATATAAGTTAAATATATGCATAAAATTTTTAAAAAATAAAGGCAAGGGAGCCCAAGGAAGCCTTTAAGGCTTTAAAAATATAGTAACTAATTAATAGAAATAACCAAAGGTTATGGAATGCAGGCAACAACGATCGAAGGTCAAACGCTTTGCTCCATCACTGTTCTTTGCAGAAGTGTCATGTGACAGATAGTCTAAACACGCGAAATCAGATTATGAGTGATAAAAAGTCTAAATGCACGTGATCAAATTACATTCTGTGCATTCCATTCATTCTTAGTGGAAGTCCAAACGAATGCTGGCTACATACATGCGGCGCGTGCACAATAACAACATGGAGATTAGGATTGCAGGCTCCTCTTGTCACCCGCAATTAAATAAAATACTGGCATTAGCAAGACAATTTAACTAAGCACATACAATAATAATTATTTTACAACATAGAACGTGCAAGTGCGAAAACAAAAAAGAAGACGTGACAAAAATAACACAAGAATATACAAGAGAAACAAGTGAAAAACTACACGCAAGCGTTAAGAGAAGTAAAGTGTGCTTATACACCGAATGCAAATATGGTGGACCTCTTGGCCGGCCTGGGTCCAGTTGCACAAAATCAAGGGTAGTGACGCCTCAAGAGTTTTGTTGACTGCGCGTCTTAGCGATTGAGTCGATCGATGTGGTTTGCTTCGAGTTGTTGCGTGCCTGAGCGCCACCAAAAAGGAGATTTTACTCTAGCTGGAACTACCTTTACTTTCCCAAGATCTTTTCATAAAGAAAGTTAAGGATTGATGCATTTCAGCGCGGCAATGGGAAGCACTTAACAGTGAAAACGCAAGTGTGCTCGTTTCACTTGCTTTAGAAGAGAGGACTCACAGAAGTATTTGAAGGAAAGAATTTTCACAAGAGATGGTGCTGTTCCATGATGTTTGCATGGTCTGTTGTTTACCCAACAAAAGGTAAACATTCTTGAAAACAGGGTCATCCCATGTTGACTTTAAGATCTTTCAGATTTCATGCTGGAAACAGCTGCATTAAAATATTACAATAGTGACGAGTGTGAATGAAACGTAACAATCACAATTGCCTGGTAATCCTACAAGCATAGCCTGTGGAACCATGTAAGAACCAGAAGAAAGTGACATGTTTGAAGAATAGTCCTTTACTCAAAGTGCACTGAAAAAACTAACAGACGAACTTCCATGAACTAAGAAAGTACGAAGAAGGTTTAAGGTTCTGGTTGGGAAGAGCTTGCAATAATTATTAGAGCACTGTATTTGCCCTTGCGTGTGATCTATTTTACTGAGAAATTTGTCCAAGGGTTTCAAGATAAACTAAAACACAGGATCATGAAGACTACAAATATATTCGGCCTATAGGCCTCATTGTAAAAATTTCATACACAGAAGTGTCTCTGAGAGCTCCTAAGTATTGTTAAGTCGCAATGGCAGATTCACTCGTTCTCGAGAAGGTTTACCTTTCCTGAGAACGAACAAAGCAAACTTGAAACAGAACCATCTCTCAGGCATTCTCATTTAAATAGTTTAGTGAGTCTTCTCTTCTAATGTGAAGCGAGCACACTTTTGTTCTCTTAACTCCGTGACAGTGAAGCGCTTCCATTCGCCACGCTGAATGGCTTGCATGAATCCATTTCTTTCTTCATAAAGAACCTTGGCAAAGGGAAGATAATCAACTTTCATTTCTGCTGGAGTTAAATCTCCTCTTTAATGGCTCTTAAGCATGTACACATAACAACTCGAAGCAAACCTTATCAATTGACTCAATCGCTAAGACACGCAGTCAAAACAAAACTCTTGTGGCCTGACTATGCTCGCTTTCACGTAACTAGATCCGGGCTGGCCAAGAGGTCTGCCATATTTGCATTCAGTGTTTACCAAGAAAAATGCCTTAGTTTAAAAGTGAACACAGCAATACTAGAGGTATTGTCTTACATTTGTCCTGCAGTAGGGCAAACAGAAGGAATTCTTACTTCTAGTGTTATATGTTGACAGTGTTATACATGTATATTGACAGTTGAATCCTTAAATAATGTACCTGTAGTGTTACATAAGTTGACAGTTGAGTGACAACATTTATACATTTATGACTTGACTATGGACATATATGTAAGACACTGGATCATGTGTGGAAATGTCAACAACACTAGAAAGAATGACTGGAAGAGAAGAGGAGACAACGTACATTGTATATTTCTCGAGGAAAAAGCAATTACCATTCATTTGACTTCTGATCTTTAGGCCCAAATATAAAAAAACTTCATAACTTCATAACTTTCATTTTTGTAAACCTTATAACTGCCAGGATTTAGTAAGACCTGTTTTTATGGTAACTGAATAAACTAATATGATTTTGCCACATGGTTTTAGTATTTTATGCATCATTTTCCATACTTTTAGACTTATCAAAAGAAATTAACACCATGTCAGAAGAGTACATGGCAAATGTGAGGGATATGGATGCTGCTAAGAGAACCCTACACTTAAAGAAGATTGAAAATGCCTTTGTTAAGAGTAGAGAATATGGAGATGATAAAGTTCAGCTGGCCATGCAGACATACGAAATGGTTAGTCCCCACTCTTATTTTTTGTAAATCAAGGCTTAAAATAGACTCAATTTACAGTTGTTTGAGGCTTATTGCATATTCCTCTCAACAACATCAATTAGAAAACCAGTCTGCAGGGATTGTCCATTATGTCACTTAATGCACTCTTAATCCAAATTAGCCTCTCATTGCTTGATGATTTGCGATTTGTGACACTGCTTCATCACTGTTTTTATTGTGGGACTGCCACTAAGATTTCAAATTGAAATGAAACAGCTAGGGATTTCTTTTGGTTCTTTTTTTGTTCTGTTTTCCTATAAAAGTAGCCGGGGGCCACATTGACAGCCCTGTTTTATTGCTAGTGGTATTAGGTCTGTAAGGAAAAGAAAAATATTGGTGCAAGATTTGCAATGAATAGCATTGTGTAAATGGCAAAAAAACCTTTGGGAGTTATTAATTTCTCTGAGCACATAATTATGTATATGTTGTAGTTAATTTTTTTATCTCAGGTAATTTTTATTTTTATTTTGTTTCAACTTTATTAGCATACATTACCATATCCAAAAACAAAAGAAAAAGAAAAATTACCGGAGGTAAAAAATTAACTACAACAAATACATTATAAAGGGAGTTTACTCCAGTTAAAATTGTGTCTGCAAAATGAAATATAATTTTATCCGTGTCTCATTGTTTCGCTGATTGTATTTCTAGATGTATTCAAGCTGAATTTGTAAAGTGATTTTAATTTATACAATAGTATTATACTGTATGTTCTCTTAGCAAGAATGCACACTTTGTTTATGATAATTTAGTTTTTTATCATGATTATTAAATATTATTATTATTATTATTATTATTATTATTATTATAAATCAATGGTTAAATATCATGTATCACACCCTGAAAAGGACTTTGGTTGAAGTAATGAAATGAAGCAAGACCACAGAGATCAAAGCCTTGTCTACTCTGAAACAATAAATTAGAATGTACAATGTAACAATCTTCCTTTCTCCCATGCCATGCAATTAAGTCCTTGGACCCAGGGCATATAATAAATTATGTACATTATGTATGCAAAAAATCTACTTGCATTGTAGCTTTGAAGTTCTCGGTATTTGACAGTTGTAGGACTTAACAACTAGTATTTTTTCTCTGATTTTTGTTCACAGGTTGATAAGCACATACGTAAACTGGATGCTGACTTGGCCAGATTTGAGGCAGACCTTAAGGAACAGCACGCCAAGGAAGCTGGTTATTCAGATTTTGAAAGTAAGTTGGAAAAGTAACGCTAAAATTACAAAGTCATTATAGCCCAATACTGACTACAGTGGTTTTGGCGTGGCAACCGACAAAGGACCAGGCCAGCAGAAGAGCACTCAATGCAGTTTTAAACATTAGTGGTGGGGGGGGGCTTTGTTGTGAACAAAACACTTTGCCATGGTCATGTTGCACAACAATGATGATTTGAATAAATTCATATAAATCAATGTCCATGCTCGACTCAGCTGACACAGATAAGTGTTATACTTTCCTTGCTGTATTTCTTTTGATCAGTCCACTTTTTTTCTTTCAAGTCACACACTGACTGGTTACACAGACATTCCTGTAGAAGTTGCCCCCACTGCTTGATCGAGAATTGTGCTTTCCAATAAGGAAAGAACGTTAATGCTTGCAGAGTCGGTTCCAATCTTTGCACCCCAATCAGAAAAATCACAAATAACCGGAAAATAATATTAAACTTTTTCTAAATCCAGTTTGTAATACTGTCATGAGATCTTCACCACGAAAAATACAGCACAATACACTTGGTGACTACTTTAAATCATGTTTTCAAAATTTTGGATCAATTACAATTATTTTTCCAATCTACAGGTGAATCACCAACACCAAAACGGAAGAGTAAGTCAGGTATGTGGTTAACAACAGTAGCAAGTTATTCATCTCTAAAAGAAATAATATTAATAATAAATTCTTGCATGGATTGAAAATTCAGTGTTAATCAGTGATTTTGTTGTCTCTGTGCCCTGTGTCGCTGATGCATTAAAATCCGCAAAGACACAAAATAATTCATGGCATGCTTCCCATAGGACACAAAGAACGATCAATCGATTTAAAGAGTTTTTGATAGAATATCCTGTTTGTGTGATTTCTGTGGCTGTTGTTTAAAGATGCATTTTATTTTAGTCTTTTTTGTGCTTTAAGTATATAGAAGGACTATAGGATCAATTTTAGGTTTCTGGGAAACTGCCCACCTACCCCTACCCTAAGCCAACATTATCACTTACTTCTCACTTAGGGCAAAATGTAGGCCCAGGGAAGGGATAGGTGGGCAGTTTCCCGGAAACCGTAACTGATCCGGACTATATTTTAATTTCAGTAAACTGTAATAAAGAGTGTTGGCGTCTGTCTCCAGATTAACTGTCTGGTTACATAAAGGCCCAAGCATTTTGAATTTAGGACTCCTTGGTATTTTTTAATTGGTACTCATTAGTTATGGACAGGGACTCATGAATCATGACTCTTGAGTCCCAGGACTCCCCATAACTATTTGTAACCAAATCACAGGTTAATCCCAATCATACGCAAGATTTGACTTGCTAAAAACAAAGTGATGCCAGAAAGGTTATTAATTTTTAAATACAATTTGGCCTTTTCAAAATTATCTTCTTAATCTTGGAGAGAGAATTAATGCTCATAGGTCACCATTGCAGGGAGGCTAAAACAAGCTCTGTTGAAGGACTTTTGTTCAAAACATCAGCTTCTCTGTCCCGCAAGGTGGCCTCAGTTGACAGAAAAACAAATCCCTGTATTTCAATCCCCTACCAATACAACACCACAGTTTCTTTAGAAGCAAAACCCTTAATTTATCTGAGGTTAAAACAAGTGCTAATGTATCCCATCAGGATACGGAGATGGCTAATATAAACCATGGGAGTTATTTTCAGAATTTTACAGTTCATTATGTGCATTATGTTCAGTCTCATTCTCCTCTTTATAACCAAGAAGAGAGCTGAGGCCAGAACCTGTCCCGTGGTGTTCTGGGGTTGTTATTGGGGATGTGCCAGTCATCTATTGGCCTATTTTTTCCCTGTTCCTAGTACATTGTGTCACAGTTCAAGAAGTCTCTGTGGATGTTAACTCATCTTAGTTTCCTTTTTGTTTTTTAAGTGGCAAATAAGGGTGAGATGTTGTCGATGTAACACATGTTTATCAAGCATGGCAGTGTTACATCCGGTACTCGGACACCAAAAGTTGGTTTTAAAAAGGAACCAATTTTCTGACTGAGTTTAAGGGCTCTGGATGTTACATAAAACATAGTTCAGTGTGTTCTAAAATTTTATTTTAATTTGTATCTGAGAGCCAAATCTCCTTAACAGTTCTGTTTCCTTTATTTTTGTAAAGTCATAAGTCTGCAAGGATTGGCTTTGAAAAATATTACTGTTTGACAAAAATAATTTCTTCATCCCATATGCTGTGTTAGACAAGGTTTGAAATAATTTAGTATTATATTTTGTAGGTGGCAGAAGTAGCAAAGGGGGAGGAAGGAAAAAGCAACAAGATTTCGATGAACCGGCCAGGAAAAAGAAAAAGTAAGCACACAAGAACATAAAGGAGATGTAGTATTCATAGAGTATTGTAGGTTTTAAGATGTTCATTCTTATTCTCTCTCTGCATCTTTCTTTCAATTTCACACTATGGTCAACTTGTGTGCACGATGTACATGTACACTAAGTACTTAACATAAACAAGTACAGGTGTGGCATCCACTCCATTAACCTTGACTGCTGTTTACCCTATTGAATAACTGGTGACTGACCCCCTCTATTTTTATCATAGGTCACTCCCTCTACCAATCCTCTCCATTTTAATAGAAAAAATAATTCTTTGTGAAGTAACAACTAAAAGCCTATAAATTTGCTGAATTCTGTCACACATGGCTTTTGGTGTGGTGGAATCTTGGGCTGGTTGGGTGGAGTTTGCCCAGGGTTCTCAATAGAAGGCGGCACCCGGCAATTGATCGCCGCTTACTTTGGGATTTATAGCCGCTTACTTTGTGTTTAGGTCACTTTTCTTTGCTTTGTTTTGACACCTCTGGCTTTGCTGAAGAGCCTCCTACTTTATCAGTGATCACCTTGTACTTAAAAATCTATTGAGAACCCTGTTGCCTAGCAACAAAGCCAAACAAATAAAACTACATGCCCAAATTTTAGATGCTGTAATTTATCGTCAGGAATAAATGCCAGCCTATAGCTAATTTTGTGTACAACTTTTGGGGCAGATTGTCACACAAAAATGGCTAGACTAACTGCAAACAGTGTGTTTTTGGCGAAATGTCCACTTGCAAATGCTTTTATTCTTGTCCTTTTTCCTTTAATTTCCTTCTTTTGGATCTTTTCCTCAAGTTTCACGGGCCAGATTCTGTGGGACACGTGCTCCTAGAAAAATTCCCCACTTGGGAAGTCTTATGATCATTCGTATATGATAACAATGGTGGTAGCTACAAAAATGGCATTAAAACAATAATTGTTTTAATGTCATTTTTGTAATACTTTAATACTTTGTATGACTTTAAATGGACACTGATTAGCTTTTGTTTCTCCTCCTGGACTAAACTACATGTATGTTAGACCAAAATTTTTCAGAGTTGTGTTATCTTTTACAAAGGACAATAAATGATTGGGTTTTTTTATGAGTTGCCATTGTATTGGCTTCAAATTTGTTTATTCCTACATGTAGTTAGTGGTATGTACCCTTGTTGGTTAATGATCAAATTGCTCTCAAATAGCCTGGAGTAAGAAGAAAAATCTCTTTACATCCTACTTGACATGCTGTCTGCCTGACAAGAAAAATAATAAATTTGTTACTTTTTTAAACAGAAAGGTATTATAAACTTAACATAGGGTTACCGTTAGATCCTGACATACAGTAGTCACATTTATCTTGCTTTTCGGGCAAGCAGATTTTCCTCTTTTGTTTCACCCTCTCCACCCACCACTTAGTACATGTTTTAAAAGTGGTGATGTTGAGTAGCATAGATACAGCTTCAGACACTCTGCAGCCTAGCAATATTCTGTGTCAGTTATTACCAGTCTGTGTAAGCTAATTAGCTGTATTACTGCTAACCCTTGTTGCAGAGTGGAGTCTGATGGCCCCAAATCCCTTGCTGTCGCTGTGTCTCTTCTGGCACCAGAGGTTCAAGTACTAGACATGCCAGTTGATCCTAACGAACCAACATACTGTCTATGCCATCAGGTAAGATAATTGCAAAGACACTATAGTAATACTGTTGCTTATTCATTCATTTGTTTTTTGTTCAGTGTTAATACACAGTGACAATAGTCATGGAACTGCTGTGTACCAGTCCCCAGTTGTTCAAATGGTAGATACAGTGTACAACTGTAGTGTTATCTATTGGATAAATCTCTATCCATTTCATAACAAAATTGGTTTAGCTAATACTTATCTATCTGGCTCCACTTCTTGAAAAGGTGGATAGCGCTATCCACCAGATAAATTTAAGGCTGTGCTCTAAGGGAAATTGAAGGGAGCCCAGTGCTCTGAACCTGTAAAATCCAGGGTGCCCAGCATATGATTTGTATGAAAAATCTGAGATTTTCTAGTCGCCTGAGAGCAAGAGTTAGGCACCAGGGGCCACCGGGCTCTGCTAGAGCACAGCCCTGAAATTGCATCCACTGGATAGTGCAATTGGCTCCCTCAATATTTATCCACCGGATAAATCAGTGTTATCCAGCTTTTGAAGAACTGGGGCCTACTGGATAGTGCTACAACAACCAGGGCCAGATATACAGTGTATTATGTAGTATTGACTTCATTGATTGACTCAAAGTTTAAATTATGGGTTGGTTTTTTGTTCTATAAAATACAACTATAATTTAAGGTCAGTTTTTTCACTAGCAGGTTTATACCAAAACAGTTATTTTCCTCATTGTGGGTGAAAGATACTAGTAGTGAAGGATATTAATCCGAGTCCATCCTCTTTGGTGAATGTTTGGGAAATTTAGTGTAGCAGTACAGTGCGGTACTTATTTCAGTCAATTTACTTTGGATCTACTGTTTTTTTGTGAAGGTTTCGTATGGTGAAATGATTGGATGCGATAACATGGAGGTAACAATACGGTAGCAATAAATGTTAGATAATCAAAACTATAAATTAGATAATTTTAGACACGTACTGTTATGTTAGGCTTGACAATCTAGGTCAAAACTTTAAGGACACTTTGTCCTCTTGCTTTAAAAAAGCAAAAATATTGGCTGTTCGAAGTCTATTCAGTTCACACATCGTCAACTTTGGTTGGGCGTATGGTAGAGAAAACTTGGTAAGGCCGTATTTATGAGTGTGAATGTGATCGTCCGGGTGAACGTAGTCCTGAATAGGACTGTTGTTGTTGACAGTGACTGACGTGCGGTAGTCATCTTCAGAGTCAAAGTGGATCAATTCAATAACCAGAGTATACCATCAACTGACGTGATACAACTCACTTTGACTCTGAAGGTGACTACCGCAAAGGATGTCGAAGCGTCAGTCACTGTCAACAACAACAGTCCTATTCAGGACTACGCTCACCCGGACGATCAAAGTCAACCTACTTTTGAAATGACTCTTGGGTTCAAACCTTTCACAGTATATTTTTTATCATAATTTCCACGTGAAAAAGGAAGAGGTTTGTATCAAAGCAATGTCAACCTCAGCCTGACGTTTATGCAAAGGCTAGGATACTAAGCACACAACTATAAGCTGGTCTATTCAGTACACAAAAAGGAGATTGATAGGGAGCGTCCTTAGGGGTGGGGGTTGGGGGGTGTCCCAAGAGATGATGACTCCTAAGACAATCCCTTGTAGAACATCGAGACTTGAGTAAAAACTGTTTGTTGGTCAACCAGATATTTTGTATTTTGTTGTACAGGCTCTTGAGTCAAAGAAGGACAGCTTGAGCATATTGTATCTGGGTAACATTTGCTGCAATCCAGAGAAAAAGATCTGTTTCCACACAGAAGTGGATACATGAAGGTGTGCGAAACGAAAAGGTTTCGACAACCCAGCATGTGGCGAGAAGTTTGAGGGGAGCCAAGGGGAAAAAATAGTTGTTTTCAAGTAATCCGGATGCGTGTGGATGGGGCTTTGTTGCTTACTGGTGTCTTGATGTAAAAGGAGCTAGTACACAGAACTGACTTGCTGCTTCTGTTTTTCAGTGCCCTATTGAATGGTTTCACTTCCCATGTGTGGGACTTACCTCAAAGCCGAAAGGAAAATGGTTCGTCGACATTTCTTATCGTTTCAGTAATATAACTTTTTGTTAACCAAGGTGATGAAGGTTTCTTAAATATGTGCGGTTTTTTTTACTGGAGTCTTTTCCTGTTACCCTTTGGGATGTAGTATTATTTGTTGGCTACACCCCACGCACAGATTACTCATTAGTTGACATGTCCTGTTGTTGACCTTTTCGCTTTTTAAAAGATAACTGTGCGTTATCTCTCTCGTTTGTGGTCATAGTATTGCATTGAATTCATTTTTGAACTTTTATTGCAACTTCCTGTGCACTGTAAAAATGTAGACAATGGTAAATTATGGTCGATTAATTGATAGAAACAGTTCGATCTCTGCAAAGATATTTCTACTTGGAACTGCCCCTTGATTGCCGTATGAAATTGATTTGTCGCTTCCAAAGAGGATTGGGGATTAATCCTTCAAAGTAACATCTTTCCTTCTCAAACGGCCCTTTGGTTAAAAGCTCGCCAAACGTCAATTTCAACTTGCTTTGTCTCTCATATTTTTCAAATTGTTTGATTCAAAGTTTTTTCTATTCTCAAAAATAGACATCCCGGAATTCTTCATTGTTACCAGAAAAGTTAGAACTGTTTCGTTATTGAAGGAGGTTGAGCTTTTTCCCGATTCCAAAATGCTAAAATTTCTAACATTTGTTGTTTCCCCGCTATTGTCCAAAATGACGACGGCTCACGCGCGAGAACGAAAGAAAAATCTAAAGTAAAATGGTTACAGCGTTACTACTTCAGGTATTGTCCAAAATGCGCCCAAGAACGAAAGAAAAAGTAACAGTAGTTCAACTAGAAACGTTTGGAATTATTTGCCCCATCAGCTGGGAAAACAGTGGTCAAGTGTGCCTTCAAGATACAGACTAACGTGGCTTCGTTAGGTCAGAGAAGGGCATAATACAGAAAGAAACTATTTAAAGCAAAAGATATCAACTTTGAGAGTTTAAAGTTGTTTAAACATCGCATGAAGCTTATTCATTCATTCATCCAGAAAAAAAGGTTATGACTCGTCATTACAGAGATTTAGAATAACGCTTAGGGCAAATAGCAAACCAGCCTGCAAGCAAGCTCTCCATTTGCGGGTGTGCGAGAAGTCACGCGAGAGCACCACGCGAAAGGAAACGCGTTGTCTTGCAGCTCGCTTTGCTCGCCATAAATGACGAACTTGCTCCCAGGCTGATGACAAACTTTAATTTGTACCACTTGAGCAAGGTTTATCTCAAGTTTTCGTTTACTGTTCATTGTATGTGCAGAAAAATGAGTATATTCATTTCGGGTATATCTTGAGAACTATTGCGCACAATTGTTGTTGTTTTTATAGTTGTGCTTTGACATCTTTTTCTTCAGTCGTTGTTATATTCGAAAACGCACATCGTCTTCGTCTTCATTATTTGTTTTTTTTTAGAATCAACGAATTCGATCACACTTCACTTCTAATTACCGCTTTCGGCGCCGGGAACCCAGGGACACAACAGACTGCCCGAAGCCAAACTGTAAGAATTTTTTGGGAAGTTTATTAACTACTTGTTTTCCTAAGAGGAACAAATGACCTTCGTTGCGTCGAGGTAAGGAAGGTCTGTGGCTGCCTGAGAAGTTTAAGGAGGGCGTACGTTTGGTATGAATTTAAATGGAAAATAAGGCTACGCCAGGAGCTTATGATCATAAGCCCCTGGTCACACTTGCTGCCCCGAGCACGGTGCTTGAGTACGCTACTCGTTGGGTAGTTATTGAATACGCCGTTTGAATTTGACTACCTTGTCTGTGCCCGAGTACAAGGTCAAGGCTTTGTATTCCGGCACTGTAGTGGGTACCGGGTCCTCGTGTGCTCATGTTTTCTATTAGTTCTAAAGGTGTTTCACGGGACGATTCGCAACGACGATTTTTAGCGCAACACAGCGTTGCAATGCTTGAACAATGTTTTAACCAGTCGCAACAATGTTGCAACGCTGTGTTGCGCTGGAAATGGTCGTTGCAAATCGTCTCTACATCACCTTAAGGCAATCCATTGCTTTTCATTCATAACGGTCTGCTGCTACGCTCACGTTTAAAAGTGGCGTCTGCTAGGACGAATGAAGGAAAGTGTGCACAAGGTTTAACCACAGTGGATCCGCCCCTGTTAAACATCTGGTTACCCAACGGAATGAACACCATTTTGTGCTGGTACCTAGGCACTAGTGGTCGGTACCAATCGTGAATTTAGCCTTGGTGGCTGCTAAACAGAAAGAAGTATCAAAGGCAGATAAAGCACTAATACGAGAAAATTTATTTTCTTTGTTAAGATTGGTTTCCATGTAATCGCTCAGATCGCTGACATTTTTACAGCGATCATACAATCATGTAAACTCCCACGCAGACATCCTTAGGGGGAGGAACAAGTGTCAAAATCCTAAGGATGTTTGCATAGGAGGCCATCGCTTTCATGTATGTGGATACCAAGACTGAGGTAGAGTGGAAATCTATTTCAACGATCGTTGTGATGTTTGTCGTAATCGCAGCGATCATGTGGAAAACACATGTACCGTACATACTTTGGAAATACTTTGTTTTACTTGTTGATTGTTACTATGTCACCGTGTATCTTTTGTATTACTGCCGAAAATAAAAGATATCATTCCATAGCGTTTGGCTAAGATGTGTGAATAAGGCCATGTTCACACTATCCCGGATAGCTTTTGCGCAGGCGCTAAAACCATACCGTACAGGGCTACTGTTCACACACAAGAACAGTGATTTCGGTGCGATTTCTGTAACGGAGAGAAGCTGCGTCGCGCAGATCTCTGAAGTAGAGAGTCGCAAATCGGATAGGCATTCACACTATTGCTGGTTTGCACGTGACGTCACGGCGGCCATGTTGGTGGTCAAGGACAACAGCAATTCTCTCTTCTGCGAACTAAACCTTATTTTCATTTCAATTCTTCGAGAAAAAATTCTATTGTATTGACCACCAACATGGCCGCCTTTTCACGTGGTTGCAAGCCAAGAATTGCTGGTTTGCACGTGACGTCACGGCGGCCATGTTGGATGACAAGAATAAAAGCATTTCTCTCCTCTGGGAACTCTACTCTATTTTCATGTAAATTCTTCAAAAAATTCTATTGTATATTTGTGATCCAACATGGCCGCCTTGTCACGTGGTAGCAAACCAAGAATACCGGACAGTTGTGTCAGTACCTAAAGCTATCTAGTATCTGAGTGTGATCATAGCCAAGTTTGTGTCCGAAAGTAATAGTCATTCGTGCAGTTATTCTCCTACGGCGCACAATCAGCTGAATGTATCAAATTTTTAAACACTCAAACGTAAAAATGGAGGCACTAATAATGTATATTATATTAGTTTTAACCATTTCGCCGTTAGCTCTCATCGTGAACAATCAAATTTAATTTGTAAATATGATGAAGTACAATAAAGATCAATTGTATTCTAAACAAAAAACTTGACTGGAAACTTGTTTCACACTAACAGCGCAGGGAAGCTCTTGAGTAAAACTGTTGAACATATTTACGCAAGGTAAAAGACTGGATCGAGTGAAGATGTTATTTTACGTACGTGTAGAGTAAGGGTGCATTGAAAAACAAATTTGGATGCGAATTAAACTTTTACGGGATATGAAAATGCTAGGTTAAGCCATACCCGTAAAACGACTTGTTTCCCGTCGCTCTAGTTTTTGTAAACGTCGGTTGATGAAAAAGTGAAGAAGCAAAGGGCGCTTTCCTTTCGACCAAAACTTCCGATCTTTTGGAAACGGTGACAATTTGTACGGAAATTTCCGGGGAAAGTTTTCGGAAAGTTCGAGATTGTTGAATTTAAAGAAATACGAACTCTTCCACGAAGAAAACTTCGGGGGAAAAGTTTTTAAAATTTGGTTATACCTCGTAAGGTTGTCCTCTCTTTCGAAATTTTGTTCCACTGGCTGTAATTGGTAGTTGCTGGAAATTGGAAAGCACCCGAAAATATAGTGACAAAAGCCTTTACTAGGTAGTTTCTGCAAAAAACTGCGAAATGTGTTGTTCATTCGTTTAATACGTAAACCAATCTTAAGAAAACAAAATTCTACAAAGACCGTTTGCTGGCGGTGAAGATATAAGGAAAAATTATTGTTCACTTAAAAGAAAAAGTAAGTTGTGATCTTTTCCTCTACGCTCGGTTGCGTATAACTGTACGAAAAACGCTTATAATCTATTCTATTTTACTAAACTCAAGCTGTTGCAGCAGTTTTCGTTCATGCTAATAGTTGCTAATGTTGTCAATCTTCTGCTTGCGCCGAAATACTTGCAGCCACCTTTGTTGACCTTCCAGTGTATGTGGTAGAACAAGTGAGTGACAAGAAAATACACGGATCCAGGGACGTTATTTAAATAAAAACAACGTTCTTCCACTCCGTCGCCAATTGAAGCGCATTCGGCACTTCGCCGAAACCAGTGTTACAGTTGGCAAATAACTTGACCTCGTCCGTTCAACCAACAAGGCTTTTTCTCTAAAAAGAAGAAGAATCCACGTGTATTGCTTAAAGACTGGCCGAAAAAAGTCAAGTAAGTTTGTTGAGTTCCCATCACAGAGGAGTCCATATCATAGAGGTAGTAACAGGAAGGTGTTCCACTCCTTTCACGGGTTAGAATGAACTCAAAAAAATTGGCCTGCTTCCAATGTATGGGTCTTCATAGCTCAGTTGGTAAAGCACTTCAGCGCTAACGCCGAGGCCATGGGTTCGAATCCCGTTGAAGCCCCGTTAAATTTGTATTCCAAGAGTTCATATCATCTATATCCCAAGTAGGGATCTATAGAGTTCACTATCTTTGGACACAGAAAACTGCCCGTAAAAAGAAAGGATTTTTTTGCGGAAAGGGAGGTTCGACTGTACTGAGCACGAAGGCCAAGGATTCGTTACGTCAGGAACACTGATGTAAGTTAGTTCTACGACAACGTTCACGTTTTGCAAAACCGTTTAAACAGCAAAGGCTCTGGAATTCTCACGCGGGAAAACTTTTTTCTGGTATTTTCATGGTTGATTACTATTTGGATGTGTGGTTTTTAACAATGTCGCGAAGATATCGAAACATTGATTTTTATCAGTTACATTACAAGCAGTCTTCATAAAAGTCTGGAAAGTGCAAATGTATTTTCTAACACCGCGACCGGGGCCCCATACCTAAGAAAATTTGGTAATCTAGCCATCCGAGAAATTTTGGTAATCTCGTGACCGTACGCCCGTCCGTCCCCACCACAGGCAAACCAATGTCAAATGCCAAACATTCTAGCTAGTGCGGGAGTGGTCAATTAACAGCTGTCTAAAAAGGTATCCGCTGATCAGGGTCACATTACCGTATCGCGGGCTCAGGTGCCAACTCATCGAGGTCATAAGTTTTCCGCTGACCAGTTAGCTTCTAATTGATCGCAGGCCCAAGTTTAAATTTTTCAATCGCATGGTTCTCCCCTAACCTTAAGTATAGAGGATTTCTTTGCACTGGTTGAACATCCATTGTCTGAAGTAAATTTAGACTGCATAAACGGGAGCTTCGCTTTTACTTCTGGCTAAACCTATTTAGTATATGCTAAAACAGTGGATAGTGTTTTTCGCGCGCTCTGATTGGCTACTCAATCAGTGACTATCCTGCACTGTTCACTGATTCACCTCCAGTTCCTCCGAGCCAGCGACGCCAAACTCGCGTGAGTTGCGAGCAAAACGCCTTCCCGGTTTGCTGCCGTAACAAGCAAAGAAATTCCACAACTAATCAAGCAAGCTGTTCCCGAAATACACGAAGAATGTGACGAAGTTCGGTGAGCTTTGTCTTTTTTACTCGAATTTATCGATATAACCAGTGAAAAAGTTTTTTGTTTACAATTGTAAATTAAGCTTAAGTCTTGCGTTACTTTATTTAGTTGACTTGTTCATAAATAACCTTAAAACTAATTTTTTTTTTTTTTTAAAGAAAGATTTTAAATACAAAAAGAATTCACAACTCCTTCTGAAGAAACTTCCCCGCAAGAGCTAAACAAATGCCTTCAAAAGTTTTATTTGTCGGCAAGAAAAAGCGACGGCCGCGGCCGTTCGGTCATTACGCGCCAAAATTGTAATCGTTGGCAACAGTATTTGAGTTAAAAATCATCATTTTTGTGCTCAATTATCTCACTGTTTTAGTATAAACTAAAACAATTATTCACTTCAGTTTCGGTGGCTAGTGGTGGATATTTACGACGACTAGCCACCTCCACTTCGGGGAATAATTGTTATATAATTATTTACCTGTGCATTGAAAACTATTTTTTGGCTCCCACCAAACTCTAGTTTGACATCATCGCCAATAAGTACGAATGGTGCCCAGTGTTTGACATCGCTAAATTCTTCAGATTCTCTCATGCAGTTCATTGTTTGGTTCAGGGCTTTGCTAGCGCTCTTTCCTTCCACAAGATGCTGGTAGAAATTTTTCATAAACTCAAGGGTGGCCTTGTCGTCAATCGCCCACAGGGATACCAGGACAGAACGAGCACCGGCACCCAAAAATGCCCGTGCTATGCCAACTACACCCTCGACTTTGATTTTACCATGAGCACTATGACAGCAGCTGAGTACGACCAGTCTGGCTCGAATCTTTGCTCGCAGTACATCTTTCATAGTCATAATGAAATCCGTCTCACCCGGGTTTGGCGCTAACGCAATTTCGCCAGTTTCCATACTACCATGTGCAGCAATGTGCACCAAAGCAACTGAACCGATTCGTTGTAACACCTCATCCTTTGTAGCCTGTCTTCCAATGAGAGGGGTACTGCCCAGCAATCTCCCAATCATCTCTACTTCCTCTCTGGCAAATGGCAACGGTGGTAGCCTTTTCACATCTTGCACCCACGGATCACCCACGAGTAGCGCACCAGACTGGCAGTGATAGTCTTCTGGACAATCTTTGATCATTTTCACACTGGTCAGTGATGGAATCACGCGAATGTTGTATGATTCACAAAGGTATTGGGAATTCGGGGCTTTGAAAGCAGCAAAAGGAGCCAAGCACAGAGAACCTTCCGGGACAAATACGAGCTCACTGCAAACAAACCGGTCTAAAATGGGAGCGATTATTGTGTCGCACAATATACTTAGGGCACTTTTCTCAGCGATGAATGACTGGGTTTCACGATCATCATGAGAGAAACTCTTAAGCACCAGCCTTTTAAACCTCTCCTCATTAAGTGAGCGATCCTCGCAGTTAACATCATCTGTTGCGCCAATTTCCTGACCAGCAACCAGCACAAGAGATTGAAAGAAAGTACTGATTTCATTCGAAGAATTGATCTCTCTTCTTCGTAATTCAACAACCTTTCCATCCCGGCAAACCCAAAAAATCAATTCAGTCCTTTCAATCGCTATGAAAATTGTATTTGAAAAAAGGTCGTTCAACAGTTCGTGAATGTCTTCGCTTTCTTTGCCTGGTTCGGCATCAGTCGTCTCAAAGAAATAATTTAGTGCCAATTTATAAAGGTGAATTCCTCTAGACACCTGTAATTCCTTTCAACGGTGCACTGACTCTAAAGTTAACTGATGCGTAGGACTCTTAAAAAGTGTTTACTTAATGGACTGTAATGGACATAGTTTATTACGTCACGTTACCGATTTTTACGTCGGGTTTATTCTCAAGGTAGTAATATCCTCTGCTGCTACGTCATCATTGAAGATGACGTAGGTATTCTGAGGACGAGGTTCGACTTTCTGACCGTCTTTCAATTTCCAGTGACTATGACGTATATGAAAACCGCAAACTAAAAAAAAAACTTTGAAAGAACCAAGAAACCTTGAAACAACATAACCAGGTGCAGTGAAGAAATCAAACAGTACTAGAATGTAAATTTTATTGCAAGAAACGTCAAATTATTTCATAATTGACGTGATAGCCCCGTACTAATTCGTGAAAATACTCCTTTTGTCAGTTGGCATTCTATAATTAAAAGTCCCACCAAGAAACACGTTTAATTTCGAGTTTAATTGTTTCAGGTACATTTAAAACTCAACATTTTCCTGAAATGTGGTGGTGACGTATGTCTGTCATACATCTGATATATAGATGTTGCCGCCCTTCATACCTCATAGTGGCTTGTTTTAGAAACATTTTAATATCACCGGGCCAAAAAAAAAGGAAAAAAAAATCTGACCGTCATGCTGAGAACGATATAGCAAGCATTGGCGTAAAAATAACTACGAGTCTTAAGTTATCCACTCATTTCTTTATTTAACAGTTCTGTTGATCGCTGTAATTTTTGTCCCATTATAAATTTGCAACAAAGCTTAATATGTTTTAAAACCTCGTTTACACGGGTCCGGGGAAATTTTGGAACGGACTTATTCTTTACCTGTCCAAACTGTTTACACGAAACCGTGAAAATCTTGTTATAGATTGCCGTACTGTTCCCTTCCAAAACTTGTACAGTTCCGAAAAACGAAAAGCACCTAATCCGTGAAAGATTTTGTTCCGTTCAAAAATTTGTCCGGACCTGTGTAAACAGCGTCTGAAAGCTCTAAAGTATGAAGTGCTGAGTTTTTGTCAACTACAAATTTTATTAGCACAACTAAAAGCACAAGTTAAAACTTACTTGAATTCCCTGGATGTAAATCTAGTCCGGTTTAGTTTTCTGTTACTGATTTTTCATTTTGTTTGTGTGAACGGGGCATAAGTTTCTTTATTTTTGTTGTTTTTATGTTACAGATAGAAATACCTTGGAACCCGGAAAATACGGACGCGTCACTGAGTAAGGTTTATGCCATACGGTCTTCTGCATTATCCGGGTGTACGTGTGATGAAACGGGCTCTCAGAAAAAAAAAACACGCGCTCTCAGAAAAAAAAGCACGCGGGCACATGTTTTATCGATAAAGACTAAGGCAAACATTTTGAAGAGAATGTTGTTTAATTTCGTAACTGTAACTTTAACAAGTTCATCCTAAAGAAAAATCCCGATCATCATAGTCTCAGGCTAAAATTACCTTTTAAGTATTGTTCTCCAAATACTACAATGGACTCTGCTACTTAATTACTAAGTACTGACGGGTTTAGTTTGCGACTCAGTCAGGTGCAATGAGTATTAGACAATTCACATGCAGTAACGTTGAAACTCAACAGGTCATTCGCCGTTTTTGTTAGGTTTTCACTGGTAAGATATTCAGTCAAAGATAGTGCTCATACAAAGTGTCGGCGTAATGCGAGGTTGACGATATATGGACATTTAATACTCGAGACATAGAAAAGTGTCCGTTGTCCTTATTAACCGGTGTCCGTAATAAGAGGGTTGATTTTAGAGAAAATATATCAGCTTTTTTTCGGGACAAACGACTTTAAACTTGATGCAAGTTGACCATCACATGGCGTAGTTTAAATTTATGATGGAATATCATGAATGTCAAAATGAAAAGGTAAAATAATGAACGGGAGAGTATAAAAGCAAATACAGGGGAAAACTTGTCTCTAGGCGGCAACCTGGAAAGAGATTATTTTTTTGCGAAGTATTCCACGAATTCATAAAACGCGTTCTATATGGCTAGGGCGAAATAAAGTTGTTCATTGGTTCAGTCAGGTTCGAGAAAAAGCATCTTAAAATCAATCAACAGTAAATTGTTGTGTTCTTCGAAGATTTTACGTAAAGCGTCTTCAATAAATGATATGTCTGATATGAAATGTTGGTCAGCTATTTCAACCGTCTAGAATTATTCGTCTACACTCACTACAAAAGCAAAAGCCACTATGCCATTGACTTCGGAAGCAAAGTTAGCAGAAGACTTAGCCATTCTTAACTTTTGTTCAGAAAATCAACGACGTGGTGACAGTCTTTCAAATCTATTAGTATAAAGAGACAGTGTAAAGATCTCACTGAATCATTCCTACTGCGGCAAAACTTTTGATCAGCGCTTTTGATCATATTTGCATGGAAAAGCGCGTTATAAATTTTTAATTATTATTATTATTAATTATTATTTATTTTTTAATTATTATTAAAACTTCAGAAGTGTTCTGTTTTATCTATGAGATTTCATTCCCCATTCAAGTGGAAACATACGCGAGGAAGAAAAGAATTATTAGTTAACTAGCAATCATCTTTTCATTTTTCGCGACATATTTAGCCCAGTTCTGTTTGTCAACAACGCTTCGCGCCAAAGTAATGCGATGTCGTCAAATCAAGACGCAGACTATAACCAACATCAGATTTTAGTTTTCGAAAACTTAGAACTTTTTAGCATAGTTTCAACAAGTTTAGTAAATTAACAGCGTACTGGTAACTTTAAACTGAGAGAATTCAAAACTAAAGAAACTTAGCTTTGACGTACTGCTTAGCTTAGCGTTTGAAAATTACTCTCTCCGACTCGTAATACGGAGGTGTAAAGACTTAATGAGGGTAAGAAATATTCGCGTTCTATCATTCTATTTATTTGTTCCTTTCTTCCGCAAACTACAGAAATGACGGAAATGATAATAATAATAATAATAATAATAATAATAATAATAATAATAATAATAATAAAAGAAGATGGTCCCTTTGAACTGAGATAAATAAATGCGGGGAGAATTTTTATAATTCTCTTGAAATCATTCAGTCTCAAGCGCACGGCGGTTGCCACAGTGCACTTAAAGACCTCTTGAATATAAGTAATCAAGGGCCTTTAAAAGTTTTCTACTAACTGTTTATTATTAATCCGATTAATTTTTGATCGTTATCATCCTTGTTCAGAGAACACGTCTTGTGCTAAAGCATTTCTCCATGAGCTATAGGAAGCATAAGTTTCCACAAATGTCTCGTGGATTTCTAGATTTGGATTTCAAATACGCCTTGTTTTGTGGTACCAAGACTTAAACAAACAACTGACGAGGTTTTTCAATTAGAAATACACGAAACAGGTAGGCTTAGCTACATAATTTCCGAAATGACAAGACTAAAGACTATTTCAATCTAAGTAATTCAACTTTATTACACAAATATTTAAAACCTTTATTTCGTCGAAATCCATGTCTACTATAGCTCATTGTTTCTCTTGTTATTAAAGCGTTTTATTTCTAACTTATTAATAGAAATCCAAAAATAGAAAAAACAATAAAGCTATTTTAAACTTGCGTAGGACTCGACTTCATGGGATAACCGCGCCAATGTTCTCTTCCTAAACAGGCGCCTAGTAGCCGCTTCAGGTGCTTAAGTTGGCGCGTGTTTCAAGTGGTGACTGCATTCCACGCACAAATACTGAATAAATGAGGAGCGTTGTATCAGAAAAAGCAGCATATGACTGTCTTGTGGCCATCATAAGCGATGACATCCTTACTGTTGACCTTTATTCTGTTTCAATCGTACCATCAGCTTTTTCGACGGAAAGCGTTACTTATCTGACCTGTAGGAGTTAACTATCGCGTCCATGGGTAAACCGGGAAAGAAAAAATATAATATGCGTAAGTAGTAATTTAAACGATTTAAACAACTGTGCAAGTTATCAGTAAATATATATGACGGTGATATCCAAGAATTAGAAGGCAGATTCATGCTGTCGGATTAGTCTACCGAAGTCGGCTTTGAAAGTTGCTCATTCTTGAAAACGTTAAACTCAGTGTTAGCCATTTCGATACATTGCCAATCGGCTTAAAAAGTTAAAATTGTATCAAGTCATAATTACAGACTTGAATTCGTGGTTACGTGAACTAGACTAAATCTAACGATTTATCAAAATGATCAAGTTTGAGCGATTAAAAACAGGATGCCCAATGTTTGCAACTAAAACCAAAAAGGTCCAATATTTTTGTTATATAAAATGTGACTCATAATATTGGTGCTTTTTTTTTCCTGTGCACTAATCTACTCGTATTTTTTTGCTAACACGTGCTCCATAGCCAGTCGTGCAATGATTTAAACGTGATTCTTTGACATCCTGTTTTGGTTAATTCTCTATTTTTATA